AAGAAATAATGTAAATACAATTAATCCGTTCCTGACACCCAGAAGCATTGAAGCAAAAAAATTTTTTTACATGAAATATAGATGTAGTATATAAACAATACAATGGGACATGATGAATGAATCATTACCAGCATAACACTTACCTTTATTGGTGATTCTTCTTAGTGTATGGAAGATGGAGGAGGAGATTGGATTAGTACCAAGGTACCAAGTCCTTTTCTGGGGTTACATACTTCTCTTCTCTGTTTCTTAATGCCACTAGAACCAGCTTGAGAGTCATTGGAGTCCTGTCTCACAAAAAAAAGTGTCCAGAGAGCTGTTTCTGGCATCTCTTTAAAACTTCCCTAAAATGGGCCAAGACTCTGTCACTGTACAAGTTGCCGATATGGCTTGCAACATCCTTCTCAGGGTGATGTTTCTCCATAAATCTTTCCATCCTACCCCACATTTCAAAAATCTCCTTAATTTCTGAAGAAGGCACCTTCTTCCATCTCTCTTCCTCCTCCTCTACAGTAAGATTCTGAGCTGCAACCTGCTGCTGTTCCTGCTGAAGCTCTTGCAGCTCCTCAGTGGTTAGCTCTTCGTTGTGGTCCTCCACCAACTGTTCCACATCCTCCAAACTCACATCCAACCCCATGGAACTCCCCAATGCCACAATAGATTTCACAACTGACATAGGTTCATCAGGGTCAGCCACAAACCCTTCAAAACCCCTCTTGTGGACACAATCTGGCCACAATTTTCTCCAAGCAACAACAGCTTCCTTGATTTCCTTTTTCTTTGCCACGATGGAAGATATGGTTGTATGGGGTTTGTTATTTTTTTTTTTTTCAACAAGTCGGCCGTCTCCCACCGAGGCAGGGTGACCCAAAAAAGAAAGAAAATCCCCAAAAAGAAAATACTTTCATCATCATTCAACACTTTCACCTCACTCACACATAATCACTGTTTTTGCAGAGGTGCTCAGAACACAACAGTTTAGAAGCATATATATATAAAGATATAGAGAGAATGGATCAAAGTAGAATGACATGGAAAGCATATAAATCTATAGGGGAAGGAAAGAGGGGTAGGGGTCGTCCTCGAAAGGGTTGGAAAGAGGGGGTAAAGGAGGTTTTGTGGGCGAGGGGCTTGGACTTCCAGCAAGCGTGCATGAGGGTGTTAGATAGGAGTGAATGGAGACGAATGATACTTGGGACCTGACGATCTGTTGGAGTGTGAGCAGGGTAATATTTAGTGAAGGGATTCAGGGAAACCGGTTATTTTCTTATAGTCGGACTTGAGTCCTGGAAATGGGAAGTACAATGCCTGCACTTTAAAGGAGGGGTTTGGTATATTGGCAGTTTGGAGGGATATGTTGTGTATCTTTATACGTATATGCTTCTAAACTGTTGTATTCTGAGCACCTCTGCAAAAGCAGTGATAATGTGTGAGTGTGGTGAAAGTGTTGAATGATGATGAAAGTATTTTCTTTTTGGGGATTTTCTTTCTTTTTTTGGGTCACCCTGCTTCGGTGGGAGACGACCAACTTGTTGAAAAAAAAAAAAAAAAGCAACACATCCCTCCAAACTGCTAATATCCCAAACCCCTCCTTTAGAGTGCAGGCATTGTACTTCCCATTTCCAGGCCTCAAGTCCGGCTATATAAAAATAACCTGTTTCCCTGAATCCCTTCACTAAATATTACCCTGCTCACACTCCAACAGATTGTCAGGTCCCAAATACCATTTGTCTCCATTCACTCCTATCGAACACGCTCATGCATGCCTACTGGAAGTCCAAGCCCCTCGCCTACAAAACCTCCCTTACCCCTTCCTTCCAACCTTTTCGAGGACAACCCCTACCCCGCCTTCCTTCTCCTACAGATTTAAATGCTCTCCATGTCATTCTACTTTGATCCATTCTCTCTAAATGACCAAACCACCTCAACAACCCCTCTTCAGCCCTCTGACTAATACTTTTATTAACTCCACACCTTCTCCTAATTTCCACACTCTGAATTTTCTGCATAATATTTACACACACATTGCCCTTAGACAGGACATCTCCACTGCCTCCAACCGCCTCCTCGCTGCTGCATTCACAACCCAAGCTTCACACCCATATAAGAGTGTTGGTATTTACTATACTTTCATATATCCCTTCTTTGCCTCCATAGATAAAGTTTTGACTCCACATATACCTCAATGCACCACTCACCTTTTTCCTTCATCAATTCTATGATTAGCCTCATCCTTCATAAATCCATCCGCTGACATGTCAACTCCCAAGTATCTGAAAACATTCACTTCTTCCATACTCCTCCTCCCAATTTGATATCCAATTTTTCTTTATCTAAATCATTTGATACCTCATCACCTACTCTTTTCTAGTTCACTTTCAACTTTCTACCTTTACACACATTCTCAAACTCATCCACTAACCTTTGCAATTTTTTCTTTAGAATCTCCCATAAGCACAGTATGAGATGAGAGTAAGACACATGTGCAACATCAGGTATCTTTATTGTAGACGTTTCGCCATCCAGTGGCTTTATCAATACAAATTCCAGGACATAACTTGAAGACATAAAAACTATGTACAAAATAGGTAATCGTCCCTAAAACCAGGAGTAGGTGGAACAGCACCAATCGGGAGTTTCTGAAGCAGAAAAAAAGAACCTGGGCTTAATAGTAACGTCATAAAAAGAAACGAGGGCAAATTCATGTTGGGGGGGTTTTCCCCAGTGGAAGTAGGTCCTTCCAAAGAGATGGGTTATTGTAGTATAGTAGTTGTCGTGTTGTGAGGTTTTATGTACATTTTCCTAAAAAAATTAAGATTCCATGATTTTTGCAGTGTCTGACAAAGTTTACGAATGGTATATAATCCCCGACAAGATGAAGAAAGACACATGTGCAAATCTAGGTATTTTATTGTAACTTTTCGCCATCCAGTGGCTTTATTATTATTTTTTTTTATCACACTGGCCGATTTCCCACCAGGCAGGGGGGCCCGAAAAAAAAAAAATTTTCACCATCATCACTCCATCACTGTTTTCCGGGGGTGCTTTACACTACAGTTTTTAAACGCAACATTAAAACCCTCCTTTGAGTGCAGGGACGACTTCCCATCTCCCGGGCTCAAGCCGGCCTGCCGGTTTTTCCCGAATCCCCTTTATAAATGTTTCTTTTTTTTATCCATACAAATTCCAGGACAAATTTAAAACATTTAAAATATGTACAAAAGAGGGAACGTCCCTCAACCTAGGAGAGCGAACAGCACCCTAGTCTGAATTCGAGCAGAAAAAGAATCCGGCGCTTTTAAAAGTAACGTCAGGGAAGCAGACGGGGCAAAATTTACTGGTGGGGGATTCCCCCGTGGAAGTAGGGCCTTCCCCAAAAAGATGGGTTTGTTGTAGTAGTATAGTTGTCGAGTTTTAAGGTTATGTAATGTCCTCAGAATTTTTGATTCATGTGTTCGTGTTGACAAAAAGTGACAATGGTAATAATACCGACAAAATGAGAGTAAGACACATGTGCAACATCTGGGGATCTTTATTGTAGACGTTTCCCCAAATCCAGTGGCTTTATCAATACAAATTCAGGACATAACTTGAAGACAGTAGAACTATGTACAGAAGATGAGGTAATCAGCCCCTCAACCTAGGAGTAGGTGCGAACAGCACCATAGTCGTGAGATTCTGAAGCAGAAGAAAGAATCCTGGCGCTTATATAGTAACGTCAGGTGAAGCAGACGAGGGCAAATTCACTGGTGGGCGGGATTCCCCAGTGGAAGTAGGTCCTTCCCAAAGAGATGGGTTAGTTGTAGTAGTAGTAGTTGTCGTAGTTGTGAAGGTTATGTACATGTCCTCAGAATTAAGATTCCATGATGTTGCAGTGTCTGACAAGTTGTGTACGAATGGTATATAATACCGACAAGATGAGAGTAAGACACATGTGCAACATCTAGGTATCTGAGGACATGTACATAACCTTCACAACTACGACAACTACTACTACTACAACTAACCCATCTCTTTGGGAAGGACCTACTTCCACTGGGGAATCCCGCCCACCAGTGAATTTGCCCTCGTCTGCTTCACCTGACGTTACTATATAAGCGCCAGGATTCTTTCTTCTGCTTCAGAATCTCCACGACTATGGTGCTGTTCGCACCTACTCCTAGGTTGAGGGACTGATTACCTCATCTTCTGTACATAGTTCTACTGTCTTCAAGTTATGTCCTGGAATTTGTATTGATAAAGCCACTGGATGGCGAAACGTCTACAATAAAGATACCCAGATGTTGCACATGTGTCTTACTCTCATCTTGTCGGTATTATATACCATTCGTACACAACTTGTCAGAGACTGCAACATCATGGAATCTTAATTCTGAGGACATGTACATAACCTTCACAACTACGACAACTACTACTACTACAACTAACCCATCTCTTTGGGAAGGACCTACTTCCACTGGGGAATCCCGCCCACCAGTGAATTTGCCCTCGTCTGCTTCACCTGACATTACTATATAAGCGCCAGGATTCTTTCTTCTGCTTCAGAATCTCCACGACTATGGTGCTGTTCGCACCTACTCCTAGGTTGAGGGACTGATTACCTCATCTTCTGTACATAGTTCTACTGTCTTCAAGTTATGTCCTGGAATTTGCATTGATAAAGCCACTGGATGGCGAAACGTCTACAATAAAGATACCTAGATGTTGCACATGTGTCTTACTCTCATCTTGTCGGTATTATATACCATTCGTACACACATAAGCACAGTATCATCAGCAAAAAGTAACTGTGTCAATTCCCATTTTGTATTTGATCCCCATAATTTAATCCCAACCCTCTCCCAAACACCCTAGCATTTACTTCTTTTACAACCCCATCTATAAATATATTAAACAACCATGGTGACATTACACATCCCTGTCTAAGACCTACTTTCACTGGGAAGTAAAAGTACATGAAAAACCTATACAGTATAATATATATAATCAAACATACTAACCGTGACACTTCCCTTTCAATATCTTTGTCAGGAGTATTAATAAGATAAACATCTTCAGTATTATCACTTCCCACAACAAATATCTGCACTCCATCAGATGAAAGTGAAGTAGAAGGTTCATTTCCACCACACTCCACAGCCTCTTCCAGTGCAGAACCTTCAACACCTTCATCTAGAGACCCAAAAACCTAGAGAAGGAAAAGTATGAATATTAAACAACCACCACTCACATACCCCCCAGGTGGATGTGGGGGGTGAACACACACAATGTACAAAACCAATAAACCAATTAATGGACTAACGGGTTAGGGGAGAGGGTGCACGATATATTTTCAATATGGAAGGGAAGTGTAATATAGGAGAGGCCTGGGGACATAATAAATGAATAGAGGAAATGTTTAGTGCCAAGAGCATCTACATTGTTTATTTTGCACTCTGACCAGTATGCATACCTAAATAATGTACATTAGAGCTGATTTCCTCTATTCTATTTATTACAATATACAGTACACTACTGTATAAACATTTAAAAATATACTAAAAATGTTATAAATGGTGCAAAGGTGACATTAAAACAATATGAAAGATAGTTGACACAAACCCACTACCGTTATAGTATGCTCCTTGCATAGCGACGAATTTGTTTACCGATGTGGTCTTAGGAATGGAACTCCATTACTAAGCGAGGGCAGGCTGTATTTTTTAAATATTTTAATTTTGTGTAAAATTGGCAAAATTGCCAACTTAGGTACACTTCATAGGGTAGCTGTAATAATTGAATGGGCAGTTTCTTGTGCTAAATAGATAAAAAGGAACGTATACTAGTGAAATAACTAAACATCTGGTTGAAAGAAGCAATGGAATGAACTTAAAATAGAACTCAAATTCGGCAATATCACTGATGTATAAACTGTGTCCAAACCACTGACTTAGCACCTACACAATTTCCTAAGTTTTCCATCAAATTTCATACTTTTGGTATCGTTACCTTCTGAAAAAGATTCTCTACCATTTCAGAAGAAATATTTTTTTAAAGTGGACACTGAGAGCAATGTTAATATTGGGGGTCTGGACAGTGAAAGGGTCAAATGTAGCTACTTAATCCTAGAATTTGCCTATACAGGTCAGCCATCGCTAATCCGGCAATCACTTATCCGGTTCCATCAGTAATCCGGTACTAATTTCAGCTAGCATAATTTCAAATTTCATCATTATACTAACTCAGAAATTGTGCAGATGGTTGCAAATCCACAGCAGCAAGCCACTGGAGGAGAAAGCAGTGATGAAAATGAGGAAGATGCAGCAAAAAGTCTCTATTGATAGGCTAATTGAGTGTATTCTAACCTAACCACTCTGTAATCCGGCAAACTCACTAATCCGGCACACTACAGGTCCCAATGATGCTGAATTAGTGATGGCCGACCTGTACCTGTTACATAGCCAGTTATTTTTGTGGCTAATTACAAATATTGAAGTCTCCCATTACTGTTGTCTCACAATTGCGTAATGTCACTGTGGTTGTTTAACAAATCTATAGATGGGGTTGTAAAAAAGCAAATGCTAGTGTGTAGGGGAGAGAGGTGGGATTAAATTATGCAGATTCATATACAAAATGGGAGTTGACACCGTAACTTTTTGCTGATGATACTGTGCCTATGAGATTCTGAAGAGAAGTTGCAAAAGTTAGTGAATGAGTTTAGGAAGGAGTATAAAGGAAGAAAGTGGAAAGTGAACATAGATAAGAGTAAGGTGATGAGGCAATCAAACAATTTAGATAAGGAAAAATTGGATATCAGATTGGAGGGAGGGAGTATGGAAGAAGTAAATGTGTTCAGATATTTGGGAGTAGACTTGTAGGCAGAATGAATTATGAAGGATGAGGAAAACCTTAGAATTGATGAAGGGAAAGAGGTGGATGGTGTATTGAGGTATCTGTGGAGATGAAGAACGTTATCTGTGGAGGCAAAGAAGGGAATGTACGAGAGTATAGTGGTACCAACACTCTTATATGGGTGTGGAGCACGATTGTAAAAGTTGAAGCGAGAAAGAGGCTAGAGGCAGCGGAGATGTCGTTTCCAAGGGCAATGTGTGGTGTAAATAATAATAATAATTTTATTTCACATAGATAGTAGTTTAGTAGATAGCAACCACCCAGGGAGGTACTACTGTCCTGCCAGGTGAGTGTAAAGCAGAAACCTGTAACTATTTTACATGATAGTAGGAGTACTGGTGTCTTTTCTGTTTCATAAACATGCAAGGTTTCAGGTACATCTTGCTACTTCTACTTACATTTAAGTCACACTACACATGCATGCACAAGCATATATATACACACACCCCTCTGGGTTTTCTTCTATTTCCTTACTTCTTCTTGTTTATTTCCTCTCATCTCCATTTCTTTATTTATTATTATTTGGACATGATACATAATTGTACAAAAGAAATACAGTAGTTTGAGTGTACATACCAAAAGTCCCTTGTGGGCAGGTTTAAAATTAATTTAAGATTAACTAAGCAATGATATATTCAGTGGTAAAAATTACAGTAAACAAATTACAACATGAAGTACAAAGGAGTATTTCAAATAAGAAGCTTTATAGTTATACAAACTTGTAGCACAATTCATAATATAATCCGGTCAAATCGAGTAAAATCCATGATTTGTAGTGCAGAAACAGGTCATATGGTCATTTGATGAGTTACTGTGCATTCAAGAGAATGGAGTATTCTATTAGATAATGTAATTACAAAAAAACATAGTTTGATAGGGTCACAGGTTATACATTTATGAGATACAGTTAATCAGTATTTATTTAGTTGTGGGTGAGTAAGTGGTTGTTAAGAAGAGTCTTGAATTGATAAACAGACAGTATTTCTTTTATATTCACAGGTAATGAATTCCAGATTTTTGGGCCTTTTATGTGCAATGGGTTTTTACATAATGCGAGATGGACACGAGGAACATCAAAGAGTGATCTGTGCCTTGTGTTATAGTCATGTGTTCTGTTGAGGTTGGTAAGGAGAGGTTTGAGAGGAGGGTTTATATCCAAGTTAAGTGCTCTATGAATGTAGTAGGCACAATAATAAGTATGGATGTTTTGTACAGTGAGTAAGTTTAGAGTTTTGAATATTGGTGAAGTATGCTGTCTATAGTGGGAATTTATCATTATTATGACTGCAGCCTTTTGCTGGGTAATTAATAGTCTGAGATGGTTTATTGTTGTTGAGCCCCATGCACATGGGAAAGTGGAACAGAATTCTTCCTCCGTAAGCCATGCGTGTTGTAAGAGGTGACTAAAATGCTGGGAGCAAGGGGGCTAGTAACCCTTTCTCCTGTATAAATTACTAAATTTAAAAAGGGAAACTTTCGTTTTTCTTTTTAGGTCACCCTGCCTTGGTGGGATATGGCCAGTTTGTTGAAAAAAAAAAAAAATTCAGCATGATACAATGTTTGTACAAAGGTAAATGGCATTTGGGTGTACATGCAAAAAGCCCCTTTATATGCATGGCATTTTCGGCAACCTTAAGATTAATAAAGCAATAACAGTATGAGCAAGTTTGTACATATTATCTGGAGTTTACATGGAGAGAGTTTCGGGGGTCAACGCCCAAGCGGCCCGGTCTGTGACCAGGCCTCCTGGTGGATCAGAGCCTGATCAACCAGGCTGTTACTCCTGGCTGCACACAATCCAACGTACGAGCCACAGCCCGGCTGGTCAGGTAACGACTTCAGGTGCTTGTCCAGTGCCTGCTTGAAGACAGCCAGGGGTCTATTGGTAATCCCCCTTATGTATGCTGGGAGGCAGTTGAACAGTCTCGGGCCCCTGACACTTATTGTATGGTCTCTTAACGTGCTAGTGACACCCCTGCTTTCCATTGGGATGATGTTGCATCGTCTGCCAAGTCTTTTGCTTTCGTTGTGAGTGATTTTCGTGTGCAAGTTCGGTACTAATCCCTCTAGGATTTTCCAGATGTATGTAATCATGTATCTCTCCCGCATGCATTCCAGGGAGTACAGGTTCAGGAATTTCAAGCGCTCCCAGTAATTGAGGTGTTTTATATCCATTATGAGTGCCATAAAGGTTCTCTGTACATTTTCTAGGTCAGCAATTTCACCTGCCTTGAAAGGTGCTGTTAGTGTGCAGTGATATTCCAGCCTAGATAGAACAAGTGACCTGAAGAGTGTCATCATGGGCTTGGCATCCCTAGTTTTGAAGGTTCTCATTATCCATCCTGTCATTTTTCTAGCAGATGTGATTGATACAATGTTATGGTCCTTGGAGGCGAGATCCTCCGACATGATCACTCCCAGGTCTTTGACGTTGGTTTTTCGCTCTATTTTGTGGAAGGAATTTGTTTAGTACTCTGATGAAATTTTAATTTCCTCATGTTTACCATATTGGAGTAATTAAAATTTCTCATCGTTGATCTTCATATTGTTTCCTGCAGCCCACTGAAAGATTTGGTTAATGTCCGCCTGGAGCCGTGCAGTGTCTGCAATGGAAGACACTGTCATGCAAATTCGGGTGTCATTTCCAAAGGAAGACACGCTGCTGTGGCTGACATCCTTGTCTATGTCAGATATGAGGATGAGAAACAAGATGGGAGCGAGTACTTGGCCTTGTGGAACAGAGCTTTTCACCGTAGCTGCCTCAGACTTTACTCTGTTGACTACTACTCTTTGTGTTCTGTTTGTGAGGAAATTAGAGATCCATCTACCAACTTTCCCTGTTATTCCTTTAGCACGCATTTTGTGCTCTATTATGCCATGGTCACACTTGTCGAAGGCTTTTGCAAAGTCTGTATATATTACATCTGCATTCTTTTTGTCTTCTAGTGCATCTAGGACATTGTCATAGTGATCAAGTGGCTGAGAGACAGGAGCGACATGCTCTAAACCCATGTTGCCCTGGGTTGTGTAATTGAAGGGTATCTAGATGGGTGGCAATCTTGCTTCTTAGGACCCTTGCCCCTATTGGGGCAAGTGTTCCACAAGGAAGCATGCTGTGCCCATTGTCATGGAATGTCTACTTCAACGACCTTCTTCGTCTCATCCCAGAATCACATGCATATGCAGATGACTGTACACTGACATTCACTTATCCGAGAGAAGAAATGCCAGCTGCTCTAAGCTACATCAATCACCAGCAAAGAGCTATATCAGCTTGGGGAAATAGATGGCAAGTAA